ATCCAAATGGTTCTATACATAATGAAGCAACACAAAAATCATCATTTTAATGGTATTAATGATGATTTAATAATATCTTTTATACAAGAAGAAAATTTATTAAAACAATTAAAACAACAAAAAATACAAAATTTTAATCAAACAATAACAGATGATGATGAAATATTACAAGTTGATGAAAAGATCTTGATCAAGATTTTTCAGGACCAATACGTTTTTCAACAGAATGTTCATTAATTTGTGGTATTAATATAATACGTGGTACTTTAGCTATGACACATAATGTTATGTTATTTGATGCTGATGAATATGATGAAAGTTATATAAAAATTGATTCAAAAGTAAAATTAATAAATTAATAAAAAATATATATGTACATTCTATTTTTTTTAGATGTTTCCTTATATTGATAATATTCATGGAAAATGGCATTTTAATGAAATACGAGCTATATTTTCAAGACGATATCTTTTACAAGATAAAGCATTAGAAATATTTGTTTCAAATAGGAGTATGAATTAAATAGATAATTTTTCTTAAGTTCATTTAAAATTATACTTTAGGCTATAAAACTTATAAATAACATCATTTTTCATTTGAGCAAGAAATGATTTATCCTTATTTCTATAATAAATAGATTTTTGGAGGTTTTTTTTTGTTTTTTTTGAACAGTTCAATTTCGATAGTTCCAATAACATCGAAGATGAAATGAACTTGATTCATATCCATAGGAATCCTTTCTTACCTTTGGTAGAACCTGAAATTTGTTCAAGCATGTCAATTTAGTAATCTTTAATATATATATAGATAATATGGTAAATTAGATTTATTGGTCTTGCTATGAAATTCTCTTGCGAAAAACCTCTAGCTTATTGCTATACTTCTACGTATATTTTTTTAATGAGTAATATGTTAAGAGAAAAGCTGATTTTTTAATTTTGCATAGGAACAAGCCTTTATAAGAATGATTTCTTATGAAAGTTTCAATTCTTCTTGTTCTTCACATTCTAAAATATAGCTATAGCAACTAATACTTTCACAAAAAAAAACAACTTCTTATTAACTCTTAAAAGTCCAAGGAAGGTTTTTCTTGCAACAGAAAGAAAACAACCATAAAAATTGAGCTGATGAATTCGTAGTACGCTCATACTTTGTTCTTAATCTAGAATTTACATAATGCCCTTAAGCGGAAATTTTGCCATTAACCAGATTATATAATTCTTAAATTGTTATGAA